GTCACATCTGAAGGTTTTTTGCAAGAATGTTGGGATGACTAACGTTTTAGTCATTCACAGGTGATTGTAACTGGCTTGTATTCTTCTTAATTGAGCGGGTTCATTCAGAAAAAGCTGGAAACTACAAAAATAACAGATAGGCCTAACAGTTCCACATTCCTTTCAGTGAAATATATTTTTTTATTGTCACTGTCACTCCGTCTATAGTGGCTCAACCCAGGTTTCCAATAAGGTATACAGAATCCCCACATTCCTAATTTTTGCTTTTTACCAGGGTGTTTGAAAACTCTACATGATGTGAGTGCACTTTTCTGCATGTATGTTATACTTAAAAATAGTTAGAAAAAGGGAGCACAAAAATAATTTGTGCAAGCACAATTATATTGTCTAGTGGGGCTTTCCTGTTCATTTGCAAATTGGACTGCAAATTTTCAGTGTATCAGAAATCATCACATTCCTAGAAATAAATAGTAGCAAGTATATACACATGAATGTAGCTTTAAGAAACCCCTAGGTTGGTGTAGGAAGTAATGGGAAGGTGGTGGCTTAGTGTGACTTCCTCCACTATTCCCAGTTCCAGTGCCACCTTCCTGAACAGCTGGGCTAGACAGGCAGGAAGGCCTGGGGAAGCCAGCAGAGACCTCGCCTGAGAGGCCTGGAAGTAAGGTCCTAGACACTGTGGTTTAGGGGTCAGAGAGGGTAGGTAGGCCAGTCTCCCTGCCTTGCACCATGTGACTGAGCCAGTCTTCTGTGCTCCCTGGAGGGGGAGTTGGAGGTGCGGAGGGGCTGCAGAGGTGGGCTGTGTCCCCACTGCCTCCAGGAGGGCTGCACAGGGCAGGACACAGAGAGGCTACCTCCTGGCACCTCACCTGGACGCAAGCTGCACCTCCAGTTCATAAGCTCCTTCCACTACACCCAGGACCACCTACTTAATCTCACTCTAGTGATCGTCGAACAAAAACATCAAACCTAAGGGAGCCCAGCAGCCAAAAGGAGGAAGAGTAAGCACAGCCCTTAGAACAGGCCTGAGTAAAATGGGAAACAGGTAGACCTTGAATGAGAAAGAATTAGGACAGGCTATGGACTGAATGTTTGTGTCCCTCCCCAAATTTTTATGTTGATGCCCTAACCTCCAATGCAATGGCATTTAGAGGTGGGGCCTTGGGTTATAATTAGGTTTAGATGAAGTCATGAGTGTGGGGCTCCCATTATGGGATTAGTGCTCTCCTAAGAAGAGGAAGAGACCAGAGCTCACTGTCTCTGCCACGTGAGGATACGGCAAGAAGGCAGCTGCCCTCCCTAGGATGCAACCATGCTGGCATCCTGATCTCAGACTTCCAGCCTCTAGAATGATGAGAAATAAGTATGGGTTGTTTATAAACCACTCAGTCTGGTATTTTTCTAAAGCAGCCCCAGGTGACTAAGACAAGGCCCTTTAGTACACCCGGGTACAGAATTAAATTTCTTCCTTGAACTTAACTTTTTAAAAGTCAGTAGATNTGGGTATAGAATTAAATTTCTTCCTTGAACTTAAATTGTTAAAACTCAGTAGATGAACTAGAAACAAGGATAGTTACTTTAAAGAATTGAATTAGTTGTCCATGAGACAAAGTAGAAAAATGGTGAAACATCAGAGCCAAATACAAAGAAAGAGAAACCATGAGGGAAAAGATACAAGACTTGGAGGACAGATCCAGGACACCCAGCATATGAATAGTGGGAGCTCCAGCAGGAGACAAAGAAGCAGATGGAGAAGAAACAATAGTTACATAGAAGAAAATTTACCTGAGTTGAAAAAAATATCTGTACCTATAGATTGAAAAGTTCACTGAGTTCCAGGTAGAATTGATTAAAAAAAAAAAAAGAGCCACAATTAGGTACATTCTGATAAAATCCCCGAACTCCAAAGAAGAAGGAAAAAATCTTCTAAGCTTCTAGGTATAAGGAGCCAAGGTACTTATAGAGGAAGAAGTATNCTCCAAAGAAGAAGGAAAAAGTCTTCTAAGCTTCTAGGTATAAGGAGCCAAGGTACTTATAGAGGAAGAAGTATCAGACTTCCTGTCAGCCTTGACATTCACTGGGAGGAAAGTCAAGAATTCTATACCCTTTCAGTTTATCACTCATCCTTCAGGGTGAGGGAAGGATGATTTTTTTTTTATTTAAATGTGTCTTTATTGATTTCAGAGAGAGGAAGGGAGAGGGAGAGAGAGATAGAAACATCAATGATGATGAGAGTCATTGATGGGCTGCCTCCTGCACGTCCCCGACTGAGGATCAAACCCGCAACCCGGGCATGTGCCCTGACCGGGAATTGAACCGCAATCTCCTGGGGGAGACGTGTATGGTTATGAACATTGGAGAAAAGAAGGTAACCATTCTTGGAACAGCAGCGTCCATGTACGTCTCCCAGTTAAAAAGGGGAGGAAAGGCAATGGATGGTGACCTGATTAAATCAGTCAAAATACGTAAAGGAGAAAGGAAACGAGCAAGTAAAAGCAACATAAATTATAAATATAAAATGAGGTGAAAGGATGAATGAAAACACAAACAAAGCAGCCTGGTGTCATGATTGAGAGCACAGTCCCTGGAGCCAGACTTCCCAATTCAAACCCCAGCTCTGTTGCTTTTTGACTGTGGCTTTGGGCAAGTTACTTAACTGCTTAGGGATTTCAGCACCTGGGAAGTGGGGCTGATGAAAGTACCTTCCTCACAGGCTGTCATGAGGATTAAATGAGTTAACATGCTCAAAGCACTAATGTGGTGTTTGGTGGACAGTTAATCAAGTGTTTGCCTTATTACTTATAAAGCATAGTAGTGATGCTACTATTTGGTAAGATGAAACTTAATAGTAAAAGCACTAAACCACATAAAGAAGGTTATTATATAATGGTTATGGCCACTTATTATAAATCTATCTGTGCCAGATGGCCACTAAATATATATTAAAAAGTAATAAAAGTGTGAGAACTTAATGAAAATACTTTAAGTGGGAGAATTCATAATATCTCATTTAAGCTGAGATCCAATAGACAAAAATAGAGAAGATGTGGGGAAAAATGAATAACTGAATCAGCAAACTCAATCTAGTAGACAATTTTGAAACTTTAGTTCCTCCAATAGTTTTTTGCATGGAACATTAAAAAAAAATCAGTCATGCCCTAGCCAGTTTGGCTCAGTGGTTAGAGCGTTGGCCTGGGGACTGAAGGCTCCCTGGTTCGATTCCGGCCAAGGGCACGTACCTCAGTTGCAGGCTCCATCCCCAGCTCTAGTCGGGGTGCGTGTGGGAGGCAACCAATCAGTGTGTCTCTCTCACATCGATGTTTCTCTCTCCCCCTCCCTAAAAAGCAATGGAAAAAATATCCTCGGGTGAGGGTTAAAAAAATAAATAAATCAGCCCTGTGCCGCAAAACAAACCTTAATACCTTCAAAATAGTAAATATAGTACAGACCATATTTTTAAAATCATAATCCAATACAATTAGAAATAAGTAATAAAATGATGAAAAACACTTAGCTTGAAAATGGAGAAACACAATTCTAAGTCATCCTTAGATCACGGAGGAATTCAAAACTGAAATTAAAACAGTAAAAAAGAAAACATGTCATACCTAACCTATGGACACAGAAAGTACTGTACTGAAAAAAGTCTTTGTTATTGAGAAAGGAATAATAAAAATAAAGGAACAGTGTACTCATTTTTTAAAACTACCAAAAGAGAGTAAAACAAGAGAATGAATAAATATTTAAGCTGACATCAAGCAAATAGAAAATGCTTTTAAAAAGTGGCCGAAAGGGAATGGATCCAAGACACCAAAAGCTTTTCCGTTGAAAAGAAGGAGAGGGGTGGTGGTGGCCGTGAGGGGGAGTGTGAAGGACAGAAGGTGGCAGAGGAGGAGGGTGGGGGAGGGAGATGTGCCAAGAAGAAGGACATGTTTGAAAGAAACGTCTGATGTAACCTTTTGCTGCTGAGGGATCTCCTGCTGCTTAGGACTCAGGTTTTCTGGCCTGTCTGTCTGTCTGTCGGTGAGTGCTTCAGCTTCAGCTTCCTTCCTGTGTTTGGCAGGTCCTGGCTAGCCACGTGCTACCCAGGTGACTGGACGTGTCATTCCAGCTGTCTGTGCCTCGCGTCCTGGTGGGTAACGGGGCATCCTGAGCTCCCCCCTCGCAGGGGACTGTGTGGATCTGGTGCATGTCTGCGCCTCCCAGGACATGCTCAGTGAACCCCGGGGGTGTCCTCATCTCCGTCGCTCCTTTGAAGGTTTCCCAGGATGGGTGCTCCCCAAGGTCATGCTCTTAGGTCGGGTCACTTAACCCTTCAAGCAGTTCTGCTTTCGTTTTCTGCCTTTCCTATGGGACTCATTCTGCCATTCCGGCAGAAGTACTGTCATCGAATAATTACCTGAAAGATCAGCATTGGCTGTATTTACTGCGTGCCAGGCACTGTGCTAAGTGCTTTCTGTGTATCTTATGTAACATTCACAGCGGCCTTGAGAGTTTAGTTACCATTCCTATTAACAGATGAGAGAAAGGAAGCTCAGAGAACCTGACACACTTGCCCAGGACCACACAGCCGGAGCAACCAGAATTGGGACCCGTTTGTCTGATGCCCCACTCTCCTCCTTGCTCTTGATTTATTACTTTTTAATAAATGTAGGGATGGTTCACCTAAAACAGTGACTATCCAAAAACATCCTGGAGTGGTAAAAATACATACCAAGAGCCCAGGGTCCCAGTCTGGGCTTTGCTTCTTCCTGCAGCTGGACCTCCATCAAGTCACTTGACACCTGAGTCTCAGTGTTTTTATCGGTAAATTAAGGGACTCGGTGTGGGTGTGATCCCTAAGGTCTCTCTCCTCTGTCTTAGGCCCTGGTTCTCTTTACATTCCAGGTAACTGTTAAAAAGAGCCTCTTTTGAAAGAAGTTCAGCGTTCTTATTTAAAATGGTTTTGTGGAATCATGTAAATTCTCAAGTGACTCCCTTGTGGTCTTCTGTGTTGCCAGGTACTCCAGGAGCAGATCCGCGCCCGGGACAACATTAGCTATGGAACTAACTCTGCCTTAAAGACTCTGGAGTTGCGTCAGCTGTCGGGTTTGGGGGATCTCCGGGGGAGAGTGGCAAGGTAGGTGGTCACATGTTTGGGACTCCATTCATCCTCCTCAAAAGCTATTTTTAATAGACTTCATTTTAGCGGGGAATATATTCATGAAGCCCCAAAGCAAATTCTTTGCATTCTTTGCGTACATCGCCTCCTTCGCCCGTAGAATTTAACAGTGGACATTAGACCTGGCTGTGAGCATGCCGTGATTTCTTGTGTGTCTGCATCTGGAGTTGTGGGCATGGAAGGAAATGGTGGGAGAGCTCAGCTGGCCTGTGCCATTTGGCAGAGTAAGATTATTATGTTTATTGAATCCAATAATGTACAAAGTTGGGACTTCCATTTTGCATGTCTTTTAAAAATTTTTATTTTTCTTATAATTCATTTATTATTAAATTATTTTTAATTACAGTTGACATACTATATTAGCTTCATCTGTACAATATAGAGATTAGACATCTCTATACCCCAATAAGTCTAGTATCCACCTGACACCATGCATAGTTATTATAATATTATTGACTATATCTTTATTTTATTTTCTGAAAGTACTGGTCCGTGGTAGATTGGAAATTTTAAAAAGAGCTCTTTCTTCTCAGTATGGAAAGAGCTGTTCTAGCTGCTCACTACTCAAATTGTGCTCCCTGGACCTGCGGCACTGGATCACCTGGGAGCTTGTTAGGAATGCCAGCAGTCCCCAAAGTATTTACGGGCCTCTTCCGCCCTCTGCTGCTGGTAAGCGTCAAGGACAAGTGTACGCAGGAGCTGTGGAGCTCACAGGCAATTCAGATCAGCCTGAGGTGAAGTTGAGAGTGGCCTGCAAAGGGTGGGAGTGGAAACAAAGGGACTCAGGATCCAAGGCTTCTTTGGAGCAGAGAGCAGCAGTGGGAGGAGGTGCTATTGCAGACAGCACCTGAAGGGCCTTGTGTGCTGGGCACGTGGATTTGGGTCTGCTGGGTGAACAGCAGTCTAAGAGCAGAGATTGAGTGGAGGCCTGGTTGACAGCTCTTGTGTGGTTTTCTACCCTCATCTGAGTGAACTCCAGTCTCCTTTGTATGACCTTTCGGGACAGAAACCCCGCTGACCTCGCCTCTCTTTACCCTTGCACTGCACCTTTCAGCGGTGATCAGCTGCTTGTATTTCCTGAATGGGCCATGCTTCTTATGTCAGTACCTTTGCACATGCTGTTCTTGTACACAGCATGCCTTTCCTTCTTCTTTTCTAACTTCTAGTCAGCCTTTAAAATGCTGCTCAAATGTCACCTCCTCCAGGAAGTCTTCCCTGATACCCTACTCTCCTGAGCATTCTCTGTTTTTATTCAGTCTCTCTATTGTCTTCACTGTCTTGGGGAGAAGCACCATCTTTTATTTTTGTAGCTCAAGTGTCTGAGAACAGTCCCTGGAAAACAGTTGATAATAAATGTTTGTTTGGATGAAAGAATGATCTAGAACATCACTGTAATAGGGTAGAAAAAAACTTGAATCCTTTCTGTGAAAATTGGTTTAAAAGAAACCCAGCTCTGTTATAGCTATCAGAACAGGGACAAGTTAGAAGAACTTCAGAGCTGCAGGGCAGGGTAGGCACTTCAGGGGAACTTTGAGGATCTTCTGGGTGACTTTTGTTGCAGATGAAGATTCAGTGAGGCCATCCACGTAAGAGGCTTAGTGCAGTGCATGGGATGGCACGAACATACAGCAAATGGGAGCTATTGTTATCTCAGGGCAGCAGAGTGAAACGATCATTGTTCTAATTACAAAATAGAGAAGTTATTTTGAAATACTTTCAGAAATTTTACATTTTTTCCCCTGCAGTTTCTTATTAACTGCTTTACACATCTTGTTCCTTCTCTGTAAGAAATACTTTTACTCTGAAACAATAAAAAGTGTGTTGTGAGTACCACATGCTTTTGCTTTGTTTTATATTTGTCTTTCCCCTATCGTGTTAATGAGACTTTAATTGTTGAAATAAACTCATGTGAAATAAAAATTCTTTGGCAAACTTTTGGCTTTCTTGCATTGGCTATGTTATTGTTTTGAAGGAATATGAATGAACTTTTTAAGTGATATTCTTAAATTACTAGGCTGCTAGATTATTGCAGATTTATTTCGTAGTGTTTTGGATCCATTGGTGATGTAATTGATAGGAAACAGGCCCTGACACCTCCCCTGTAGATCCAGCTGGGAGGGGCAAAGGCAAATTTGCCATGGCGATGAGAGACACTCTTACCCTCGCTAAAAAAGACTTTCTCCAAGTTTCCATTTATCCCTAGAGCAGAGCTCAGGGCGTTTAGCTTTCCTATTCTTACTGGAATATTTGGTCCATTTTTGCCCTGTCTTCTTAATTTTTCCAAGACTCAGTGGCCTTAGAGAATTATCTGTATACTAAGGCAGATGCACAAGTTCCTGCAAGGTAAGCAAGCCAAGAACAAGGGAAAAACCACAGATAAATTGGACATCATCAGATTAAAGATTTTTGGCTATCACAAACAATGCTGTTCTGAACATTCGCAGCTTTGTGTGGTCGTTATGTTTTCATTTCTCTTGCGTATCTGTACCTAGCAGTGTAATTGTTGAGTAGTATGGCAGCTCTATATTCAACCTTTTGAGGGTGAGAACAGCCAGGCTGCTTCCAAAGTGGCCGCCCGGCTGCCTGCCAGCAGCAGCCCTGAGGGCTCCGGTTTCTGCACATCCGCTCCTGCCCGTCTCTGTCGTTTTTTTATTATAGCCAACCTAGTGGGTGTGAAGTGGCATCTTGTGGCTTTGATTTGCATTTCCCTTGACTAATGACTAATGGTGTTGAACATCATTTAATGTGCTTAATTGGTGATTTGTTTCACTGCTTTGCAGAACTGTTTATTCAGATTCTTTGCCCATTTTTAAATTGGGTTATTTGTCTCTTTAGTATTGAGTGGTAGGAGTTCTTTATATATTCCAGATGCAGTTCTCTTATCAGATATTTGAAAAAAGTTTCCCGTTCTGTTTTTTTTCTTCTCATTTCTTCATTGGGTTCATATTTAAAAATAATATTTCTATGTCTTTATTGATATTCTCTATTTAATAAGACCTTGCCATTATACCTTCCTTTAGTTTTTAAAGCAAGCTTCTTTTATTTCTTTGGTTACCCTATAGTTATAATGGCTGCTTTGAGTTTCATCTTTTTTTAAAAAGATGTTTTTATTGTTTTTAAATAGAGAGGAAGGGAGGGAGGGAGG